CCTTGTCACCCTTACTATTTGCCCTGGCTATTGAGCCTCTTGCTGCCCTGGTCAGACATTCGGTGGATGTGATAGGCTTCAAACGGGGAGCGCTGGAGGAGAAGATAGTCCTGTACGCCGACGACACTTTGTTGTTCTTGGCAGACACGGTGTCTTCTCTGACCAGTGTTATGTCCCTATTGTCGGACTTTGCCACCTACTCAGGCCTGGTTGTTAATTGGGAGAAATCTAACCTTCTCCCGTTGGATCCACTGAGTGCACCGCTAGATACTGCTATGCCTACAGGTACAATCTACCATTACATATTTAGGAATACAGATATCCGCTGTCCCGAGCGACTATCTTACTCTGAACTTGCACCCCCTTTTGGGGAGATTTAAAACTCAGCGTAACTCCTGGGTCAAACTACCATTGTCGGTGGCTGGCAGAGCAAATTTGATTAAGATGGTCTGGATGCCTCAATTACTTTATGTGCTTCATAATTCCCCTCTCTGGATCCCTAAAAAGATATTTCGGTTGATAGATAGTATCTTTAGGGAGTTGATCTGGAAACTGAAACCCTCTAGGCTGCGACTTGATGTTCTACAGCGGCCCAAAACCTCGGGGGGGCTTGCCCTCACTTGTCCACGGTTCTTCTTTCTAGCTTCACAGCTGCAACACTTTACAGGCTGGGCAGCTGGGGAACATCAACCGCAGTCTTTCCGTATTCTCCACCTGTTCCAGGGGCTAAGCCCTCTACAATATTTAGTGACACAATAATAGATAGTGACCTATATGGTAAAACTTACTCTATATACCCTACACTGAAGCTGATGGGACGCGTCTGGGATGCGGCTAAACTAGCTCTTGGCATCGGTGCCCTGACCAGACATACACCGCTGTGGCGCAATGGACGCCTAACCGAGCTTCTCCATCTCCGCCACACTGTTGACTGGTCTAGCAAAGGGGTTTTCACTATATCACACTTGTACAGGGAGGGCAGACTGCGGGACTTTAAGGAACTGACGGAAACTTATGGAGTTCCCGGTAGGTGCTACTTCCAGTTCCTCCAGATTACTCATGCTTTGAAATCCCAGTTTCCTCTGGGCCCTCCAGTTCTATCTCCCACTCCGATATTTGATACGGTACTATTGGCGACCTCCACTAAGGGGATTATCTCCTTTCTATATGCTCATCTTCTGCTTAAATCCAATGTCCTCCTCCCTCTGAAGTGCAGGGTGGGATGGGAGGGAGACGTGGGACCCATAGAGGATGATGTCTGGGAGGATGTTCTTCAGGGGGTTACCCAGGTCTCCCTGTCCCCCACTCATAGACTGACGCAACTGTTTATACTTCACAGGACGTATCGCACCCCTGAATTCTTGTTCCGTATTGGGCTTAGAGCTGACTCCAACTGCCCCAAGTGTGGCTTTCATCGTGGTTCCCTGATCCACCTGCTTTGGAGATGCCCTGAGCTGGTTCGGTATTGGGATCATGTTGTAGATACCCTTAACCTTGTATTTACATCCTCAGTGACTAACTCCCCATTGACGTGTATGCTGGGCATTGTGGAATCCGACGATCTTACGCATCGCACTGCTATAGCACTTAAGCGGGCCTTATTTACCGCAACCAGGGTGGTGGTCCGTAAATGGATCTCCCCGTCACCTCCTTAGACAGAGCTTGTCTAAATCTTAGGTCAACCATTTTGCAGTAGAGAGGGTGTTCTTTGATTGCTGCCATTAAACTGGCAGGCTAGAGATCTGCTTTCATAGGGAAGCAAAAATTGAACTTCTCTGGTCACTGACCTTTGAAATCCTGATGGCAGAGATATAGCTATCTTCATCTTACTCCCTGACTGCATATTGGAAACGTCAGTGGAAAGCAGGTTCGGGTCCATGTACGAAACTGGGTTTTTGTTCTTGTCCAGTATACATTCAAAGTCTACAGACAGCAAATAAAACACCATATCAAAGGCTTTGAGGTCAAAATTTCCTTATTTCTATCAAGATTTTTCTTGTATTTCTGTATCAGTGGGACAGCATTGTAGACGTGTAAATGTAACCATCAGGCCTAAGTTAAAGTGACACTAAAATCACGAGTCAAAACTTAAAAATGCATTCAAGTACCTTAAATATTAGCAAAAATGTATCTTATTTGTGTATCACTCATCTGTAGAGCCTCAATTCATCTCTGAATTGGTGCTGACACTGTCCTTCCTTCTGGAGGGGGGCTACTTTTGTTCCCCATGGTACTTGTGTGTGTGTTGTAGAATTAGCCACCACTCCAAGCTCACTCCCCAGATAGACTACAATCTCGCATTTAATTTACTAATTTGTATCGAGATTGTAGTCCATCGCGGGGGTGAGCTTGGAGCAGAAACATAATAGGGGCGAGGGGGAAGGAGTTAATTAGGGTTAAAGAAAATGTTAAACAGGAACAGGTTTTATTTTTTTTTAACTTTCATGACTTGATCAAAAGACTTCATATGCAGATCATGTCTTGATACCATTTTTTTAAAGACCAAGTACTTTCTCTCAGGTACTTGCCGATACCAATTACCGATACTTTTTCTTGAAGGGACAATTGAAATTGTTTCTAAAACAACACAGACTGATGATGTCCCCAAAGCAGAATTCATCTCACCAGGCTGCATGACAACCTCATCTGGGAGACATGTGGACATCTGCAGTGATTCTGCAGGCACTCCACCTCACCGGTGATGCTGGGACCTGGCCTCCTCCACGTCCAGACCAGCGATGCTGGGCTCCAGCCTCCTCCACCGTCAGACCGTCTCTGCTGCTGGGCCCCCAGACCTCCATCCTTTCCACTGCTCCCGACCCAGTCCTCGCGTCGGTGGGCGGCGGGACCCCCCAGCTTTGAGCCCTGGGGCGGCCGCACCAGTTGCACCGCCGGTAGTTGCGCCCCTGGGGCTGTCCATGGCTGTGCCTGCGCTGGGAAGGAGGAAATAAAGAACCGGACAGGCACTGCCATGGACAGCTACTTGCAGGTCCCCACAAGTGCGAGAACTCAGCAGCCACTACGATTTAAAAATTTAAAGGGCCAGTATCATCCTTAAGAATCGGGACATTTTCATGAGTACGAGTACTTGTGAAAATGCCTGGTATCGGCACCGATACTAGTATCAGTATTGGGACATCCCTAGTCACCATAATGCTGTTACATGATATTTCTCAATGGAGTTTCTAGTGTTCAGACGCTGTTTAGAAGCTTTGATGTACAGAGCAGGTGCTGATGTGATACAGCGCATGCCCCTGCTGTAGTGCATACATCATGTTTCTATCATATGTCCCCAACTAGTTATGTTTATTCACATCTTCTTACCTATGGAATAATAGTATGGTGTAACAACAGACATTCTTGTATAATGTATTCCTCCAAGGGCCGCTCCCAACAGATACTGAATCTGGTAATCTGTTATATTTTCATCGTCCTTTTCTAACCAAGAGAAGAAAAAAATGTTGCACTGGGTGTAATATCCAATGTATCCACAGCTCAGACCTCCATATATCAAATGCCAGACATTTGCATTTAACCACTTTAGTCCCCGGGCTTTTTTTCTTTAAATATACTTTGAGTACCAGAGTGTTATTTTTTTTTGGAGATGTCTCAGCTCTGCACCTTATACTTTTTAGCATTTGTAGCCTATCCTAATGTATTGTATATCATTTTTGGGACAGAAAAGGTTTTCATTTGATAGTGGATGCATATATTTGACTTTTCTAGGTTTTTACAAAATGCATATCTCTGTATATTTTGCAACACAATTTTGCTGATTGAAATGATATCACATAGGTAACCTAGCAGACTGGTAAAACTTAAAAGTAAAACGTTTGCATTTTACTTTTGAAGAACTTTATTTCCCAATCCCTTTTCTATGCTACAGTGCAATGGAGGCAGGAAAAAAGGAACAGGAAGCTCTGTCACCCCCTCATTATTAGTTGCAGTTACCCAGATCTGCATGCTAAAATTAATACCTGATTGGCACTCTTTAAAAGCACAGCGTTGTTCGGTGTCCAGCAGGAGAGAGGCCCGGTCAGATAAGCTGTACAGGGCCCCATGATCTCTAATGGCGGCTCTTGCTAGTAGTGCAGGGACATACGCACAGAATCCAATTAATTTATATTCAATCTGGTAGGACCTCTCAATACAGAGTTGTTTACAGCTTAGGTAACTTGCAAATATCTGAGCCGTGTAGTTAAAAGGAACATAACAAAAACATCAAATTCTACCAGTCTTTACCGGTCTTCCTCAGATCTTGACAATACTGCTCGTGGAACCAGGGAATCTCATATTCTGGGCACTCAAGACACACAGCTCTATTTAGTTCCATCAGGCAGTTCCGAATCTTTGTTTGTTTTTTAGAATCACAGACTGAAAAATAAAAGAAAAAAAAGAGATGTAAATTTGCAAAGATATGCACGGCCTGTAATAGTAGCAGTGATCTCTAGCAGTCTCATGTAACATATTCCCAGTCTCTGACTGTCTACAATCTTTAACCACTTCAGGAACACAATGGGGGTGATTTACTAACCTAAACACACGCACGCACGCACCAGAAGCGTGTGATTTTTACACAGCAAAGCGTATTTATCAACCAAAAAGTCTCTATAAGCATGTTTCCACTAATGCCATATATGGAAAAATCATGCACATGATGCATATATAATGCTGCTTCACAGTTTAGACAAAAATGGTTAGCTCATACATTTACATTCCTGCATTCATCAACGCAAGCAACACAGTGTAGAGCTAATTTACACAACATCACCTTGCAATTCAGGGCAGGGCTTTGCACAACACACCTGCTGGGTGTGTACACACTACAAAGGTGTTTAGATTCCACCCATAGATCATGCTGGGAGGGAACACACTACAGAGGTGTATACATGTTCGTGGTGTGTTTATAAGGTTAGTAAATCAACCCCAATACATATATGAATGGTGCGGTCCTGAAATGGATATACAAAAGATTGCAGCAGCCGTGATCTTGGCACCAATCTCTTCAGCCGACACCTGGCTGTTACATTCAAGTGTTCGGGCAGCTGTAGAGCCACCTGAACACTTGTATGCAGTTAAGGCGTGAGTAACCCCCTCTGCCATCGCTGCCGGATATCCTGGGCTCTGCATACATACATGTATACATGCATACATGTATACACACATACAAACGAAAACATGCTTTCAGAAAATCTCTAGCATAGCATTTAATGAATAAGATGTGGCGATGTCAAAGACTGCATTTGAGGCACCAAGTTGACAACCACACAATACAATACAGACCTAGCACACGGCGTGCCCTGTGGGCTGGAATTTCCTAATCGCAGACATACATAACAAAAATAACCCATTGTCATAAAGGAGCTTGCAACTTACAATCGAGCACTAAATCCAGTCTTCTTAGGAAGTCAGCGTTGAATATAGCTTTTATCAAGTCTTTCGGAAAGTGCTCTGCTAAAGCAAATGCAAAAGCCAACATTAACAAGAGGCGAGGCTTGATTGAATCTGTAAACAAGAAAACGGAGACATTTATCAATTATGCTGCATAGAAACCAGGCAGTGTTAGGCTCACACCTAGGCGATCAAGCTAGTGAGCTGTTCTCGTGCGTTTTCGTTTGCACGGTTTTCAATGCATAGAGATGTCTATGGGACCCAAACCATGCAACAACTGCCCGAAAATAGCTCCGGCACCTTTTTGCGCAACAGTCGATTTCCACCGCGCAAAAAATCGCAAAGGAGTGAACAGCTTCCATAGACTTGAATGCAAGTCTCTTTTATGTGCGATATTGCGCAGCTAAATCCGCACGATAAATCGCCTAGGTGGGAACCTCGCCTTAAACAAGAGGCAGACTGAAAAAGAAAAAAAAGTTAAATTCTATTTACGAGTTCCTCCATTTTTTGCTCTAAAGTAGCACAAAATTGAATTTCTCTCTCCTAAATTGTGCGTCTTTTTGGAGTGTCTCATTTTCCTGGCCAGGCATCAGGGGAGTAGATCTTTTTTTATTTTAGACCTTAGACCAAAATAAGCCCGACTGCAAGGGTTATTTAGTTCTTCTTTAAATTCTCACTACAATCTAATTTTACACATCTCTATTCATTCAGGGATTAACTGATGCCACTGCAACCTGCAGGAAGCACCATGATATGGATCTCAGAGAGGGAGTTTGCTTGTGCACGTGACTTCATCGCGCATGCGCGGTCATCTTTGTGATACCTGCTGGCGGGCATCTTTGTGAAGGACGCCGGCAGAGAGAGGAGGGGACGTTCACCCGGCGGGATAAGGTATGCCGGCGGGTCCCCTCCTCTCTCCTGCAACTGTCGGGCTCTCGGCCCATGACAGAGTGCCTGACTTTTCAGAGGGGATGACACCAAAATGACAGTCAGTCATTTTGCTGTCACCCTTCCAATGGTGTCCCCCGGTTGCGGGCCGCAGCCCCCAGCACCCTCCTTGTGACGCTACTGGGTACAGTGCCATAAAGGGATGAATTCCTTAATAATAACCAGGTTTCTTAAAAAGGTTTCTTTAAGCAGAAATTAACCGAACTTAAAAAAAAAAAAAAAGGACATAGCATATATAATAGCTACACAAGCCATTGTGTAATTTAGTGTTATTAAAAAGTGACCTTTCCATTTAAAACTGCAGCCACTGTCATTTTCTAAAACTGTCCAAAAAAATGTAACGCAATATGGCGACCTCGAGGTGTTCTGTACACAATTACACAATTGGTGCACAGAACACCCCCAGAAATGTAATTCCTGCTTCTGTGATTGGCTGACTGATTTTGACAGACATCTGAACTAAGATGCAAGTAACATTTTAGGCATCCCTTGCTATAGGAATTTCATTTTTGGTGACAAAGGTGAGATGTAGGGTTAATTACTACTAAAGGGATGCGCCTTTCCTCATTATAACACAAAGTCCACCAGTGGATTATAATGACCCTCCCGTTCAGGAATCCATTTGGAAAGGACATGCTGAAACAAACAGCTTTTTCTTAAAGGAGAACTATGAGGTGAGTGCTTTTCACTCACCTCATAGTTCTAGCCGACCTGTGACAATGAGACTGTCACAGGTCGGCGCAATAGATCGGGAGGTGAGCAAACATATACCGGCGTTCGCTCACCTCTCGATCCTGTCACGGCTCTCTGCCGTGACAGGTGAGGGGATGGATTCGCCCCTCCCCGCTCCGATCCGCCAGCGCTGAATGGCGGAACGGACGGGGGAGGGGGCGGGTACAGCTGGCTCTGCCTCTAGATAGGCAGAGCCAGCTGTCACTCACGCAGCTGGGCGGATCTCGACATCGATGTCGGGATCCGCTTTGGCGTCTCAGTATACCGCGAGCTGTAGCTCGCGGTATACTGAGCTTAGGGTAACGGCAGGACGCTAGTTTGTGTCCTCTGGTTAACCTAAGGAGAACTATGGGGAAAAGCCCTGACCCCATAGTTCTCCTTTAAGAACAGGAGCAGGTAGGAATCTGCAACAAAGTTTGATCACGGAGGGGGGATTGATTTTTTTCCCTCAACAAAAGTAGGGATGCACCGATACCGTTTTTTCGATATCGAGTACCGATATTTATATGTCGGTACTCGCCAATACCTAGTACCGATACCAGTACTTCCGCTAACATGAAGTCGACTTCACAGCCAATTAGCTTTGAGCTGGCTTTGTGGCCAACCAGAAAGCCACGAGGCGGGTCTTCACCTGCCACCCAGCTTCTTGATTGGACGGGACGCCGTCTCCATGCTGTTTTGCCGGCTCGATGCTGATTGGCTGGGAAGCCGACCACACAGCATGGAGCCGGCTTCCCGGCCAATTAGGAAGCGCCGCCCCGGTTTCCTGATTGGCCGGAAATCTGGCTCCATATTCCCTCGCGGCACTGCCAGTCAGAGGAAATCTCCCTCTTTCGGTATTGGGGGGTATCGGAACATTAGGGCAAGTACAAGTACTCAGCCAAATACTCGGTATTGACACTGATACCAGTATCGTTATGGGTGCATCCCTAAACAAAAGTCAAGGTTTTTGACCTATCATAGTAAGCAATGCTAAATTTTGCCGGGGAGGTTAAAAATATATAAACAAGCAACTGACTGGTTGATTTATTTTTTTCCTTGTCATTCAGTTTTTACTCCTGGACTTTGGCTTCTTTAGCCAATAACAACCCTCTCTTCCTGCCTAACACAGAAAAAGGACAAGCGAACTCACAAGTACTTACCGAGATTAGCTCGACAATGCTGTATGCACGCAGCATAGAACTCTTCTCCATTGGGAGGCTCATAATTCAAAAAGCTGAAAGCTCTTACAATGTTGTACAGCACAGAAGGAGAAAACTAAAAAAAAAAAACAATAAAACACGATTAATGGCATACACCTTTATAGTTTGGCATTATTATTTCAACCACCTACAGCATAAAGTAAAGTTTTTGCTCAACTTTGTAAAGTAATTGAAATGTAAAAGAAAATGACTTGTGCTCATTGGTCCCGTCCACTTGCTGTTGGTATGATTTCAGCATTTAATAAGTGCCGAAATGATAAAAATGCCCAAGTAATACAAAGATCCCAGTGTGCTGGGTGTGTGATGAGTACTGCCAGCATGTTATCTGTTCCCATGTATACAGAGTAGAAAAAAAAAGACACAGAGACATCCCGCGCAATAGCTTCAGTCCCCTGGACTCAAACCACCTAAAATATACCTTTTAAGTCTGATGGTAAATCTTGCACACCACCTTCAACATTGTAGGGATGACAGATTTCACTATGCCCCTGCCCCTCAGAACTTCGGATTCAACAGCTATGCCATGTAGCTCAGCAACTGAGAAGAAGGGTGAAAGATCCGTCCCTACGACAAAAGAACTGGATGATCTGGAAGACCCCACTGTGACGGTAATGAGGTTTGAGCACCTCCATATTAATTATGAAATATTGGAAAGCAATGCAGCCTTCATAGTAGGGGTCAACCAATATAATTTTTTAGAACCAATATAGATTATGGGCTACCTTTTAGGCCATTATTCTGTTTACATCCGGCTGCGGAATCTTGTGCTGGCAGCTGAATGGAAACAGCAGGCAGTGGGAGGGTGCAACAGCCAGCTTGCTATTGGCAATTTCAGTAGCCAATAGCAGGCTGGCTATTGAACCTGTCCACTGCCTGCTGTCAATCAGCAGAAGAACGGACCTGAAAGATCGCTCTCAGTCTGTTAGCCTGAGATTGTTGTCCCACGAGCTGGAGCAGCACCCTCTGTGCTGGGTGAGGCTGGGAGTGTTAGCTAGCTATTAACTCCCAGTTCGGAACTGTGTATAGTCATATGATGTTGTCGTACAGTGGGTTTGGACTGGCGCAGCCGTCACACCCGCAACGTGTAGCAACAAGCTGGTCAACTACGTTTGCCTGGGCCAACCTGAGGCAATGAGAACCACTAGGATTCCCTCAGCTTTAGAGAAGGAAATTCCTAGATCATAGTGCAATGATCCCACAGAACCACCACTGTATCCCAGTGCCCCCACTAATGGATTTCAGGATCTGAAAACAAACCTTTGTTGTTGAGTCGAGATGCCAGGAGATATTCATCTTGCCTCCCTAAACTAAAATAAAGGTCCTGAATTACTACCTGGTCCAGGGACCATTCTCATGAGTCCAAATGCTGCTGGATGAGAAAATCCACCTGCACATTTTCTACACCAGAAATATACAGTACATGGTGGAGAAAGCTGGAAATTGTTGCTCTGCCCAGGTCAGAATGAGTTTGACCTCTCTCGCCACAGCAAGACTTTTTGTTTCTCTAAGATGGTTGACCTACACCATGATCATGGCATAGTCCAGCTGGATCTGAATTGGATGCCTGGTCAGATGATCAGTCCAGTGCGGAAGAAACAACTTGACCACCTAACGGTTCAAGATGTTGATTGGGAGTTGACAATCCTTCATTGTCCACGTCCCTTGCACTGACAAGGTGCTAAGGATTAAGGCTGGCATTTGTGGTCAGGACCTACTTTCCTATGTTCAAAGCCACCAATAGTGACATCCTGGGTACAAACAAATTAGCCTGTCGAAAGAAAGGTGTGATTTGTCCCTAGAAATCCCCTTGGTGTATGTAAGCAATAAACAAACAGACCAAAAGAACCCATCAGGATTTTGTTGGCATGAATGAATACATTTAGGGCCTTGAAGGGCAGGATGGGGCAGATTTCACCTTATGGCTTGGGGACCGTGGATGGGTTCAAGTAAAAACTTTGGAATCACGCCAAACCAGGAACAAGCGATTACTCCTTCGTCCAAGAGACCTTAAAATGGCATGGTGAATATCCACCTGGCATATTAGGGACACTGAGAGGCTGAAAGCAATAAAACTAGAAGGGGGAGGGAAACAAAACTATAGTTGTAACCATGAGACATCACCTCTTGCACCCAAGCATTACAAATGCAAGATTGCCAAGCTGTTTACAAAAGCCAGAAGATATCCCCCATATTCATGCCAATTATCGCTACCTTGGGGTGCCAGGTGTTACGTGCTGCCACAGAGGTGGAGCCTTAAGAGGACCTTTGCCTGGAAGTGGCCCATGGGGTAGGAAATCACAACTGCTTACATGGTAAAACCATCCAGCACAGACATAGGCCAATAAAGGGTTTCCAGTCTTATCTGTGGCATCCTTAAAAAGAAGCAGCATCTTCTACCAGAATGGTGATCTCTTTGTTGAAGTGAGAAACCAGGGGATCTACTGGGGAGGCATAGAATACTGTCTCACATAACCCGCAGTCAGGAGATAAAAGGGGAAAAAATGCTTCAGATGGTGAAAGAGCTTTTTAACATGCTTCCAATTCTTCTAAATAAAGTTTGAAATAGCAAGTGATCAGGGAACACCTTTCAGACTGGCAAGGCTTGTATAGTCAGAAGGATTGCAGCGCCAAAGGCTGAAACTATAGCAGCAGTAGCGGCAACAGGTTTACCCTCCAAATTTAGTGTTATGTGCACGTCTTTGGAGGACTTCAGTTCCGCCTGTTTTGTATTAATAGATGAGGACTAAGAGCCTCCTGGGGACATATATCCACCCAGGTACATGAAACCCTCCATAACTCACAAAGGTAAGTGAGTGTAAAGAGACTGGGTCAAGCAAAGCAATGATTTTACTCTGGAACTGGAAAACATCCTACAGTTACAGAGCATCTAGAACTGGGAGGCACTATGAAGCAGAATCCAGCACCCAGGGGGCACTTCCAGGCTTGCTCTGCACACACACACACACCTCAGTGAGCTGTCACAATGACATCCACGAGTAAGCTGGCTTATATAAAAAAAACTGAACTTGATAGCTCCACTGGTAAGACTCCCAGGCTAGTAAGGCCTGGTTTGAATCAACCAGCAGATGCTGATTTAAGAAATCCCCAAAAGAAGGATCTTGAATTCCACAGAGCTGAGAAAGACCTCAATTCTTTTAAAAGAAACTAGAATCAGAAACTATGCATACTGGATATAGGCTGACCTAGAGGGTTTTTTTTTTACTTCGAACGCCCTGTAGGTGGCAGTATAACCCAGTTGTTTCAAATTGTCTCTGTGTCCCTCAATGAATGATTGAAAATAATGTAAGAGATTTCTCTATCAGGCAAGTATGAAAAGTAAGAGTACCACAAAAATACTTTCATGTTTTCCCTCACACTCAGTTAAACAGATCTTCACAAAGCTACAACTGATATATAAAACTTCCAAATGACACAAAACTCTAGTATTCCAGTATGCACCTTTGTATAAAGCTGAACTGCTGAATAGGCAGATATAAAACACAAATTAATGCAGTTAGGTAATCATTAAATGTATTATTTCAATGAAAGCAGTGCAACTATCTGCATGTAACATTGTATCAGCCTCTGGTACTCTGTACAGCAGAGTTCAGCCTGGGGAGGCAGAAGGAGCCAATAATTCGAGCTGCAGTGCAAGGAACATGCTGATAGGAGGAGAGAGCAGGCAAAGAGAGATCAGTGCGCTGCTTCCCTTTTACTGTGTTCCCTAATTGCAGGAGGGAGAGATGAGTCAGGATACAAATCTTTGGCAGGTAAAATGGCTCCCATATACTGTATGTATTTCATCTGTGTATATTATGGTTTGCCTAGAATTCAGCCTCAATCTCCAGAGCTCCCTAAAAGTACCCTAACTCAGGGTACTCTATATGCAAATGCCAACTTTCCAGCTCTGAAAGAAGAGACACAGTGATCATGCAATATATGACGATCAATTAGAAAGGCTCAGCACCACAGTGATCATGCAATATATGACGATCAATTAGAAAGGCTCAGCACCACAGTAATCATGCAATATATGATGATCAGTTAGAAAGGCTCAGCACCACAGTGATCATGCAATATATGATGATCCATTAGAAAGGCTGGGCACCACAGTGATCATGCAATATATGATGATCCATTAGAAAGGCTGGGCACCACAGTGAGCATGCAATATATGACGATCAATTAGAAAGGCTCAGCACTTTCATTGGGTGATTCAGAATGGGTGAAGTTGTCCTTCCAATTCAAAACTGAATGCAAATGTTACAGAGCATTCTGAAACCTAAACAGATGTACATGCAGCCTCTTTTACTATGGGCATACCAATGAGTCATTATAATCTAGATGATGTTCTTCTAGTGGAGGTTAGAAAAAGAAAGCATCCCATTGTATTCTCTTAATATCTGACGCCAAAGTCAACAGGAAAAGATCAGGTAAAGTCACTGCAGTCATTACCTCTTCAATATTTTCTATGCTCACTGCTGCAATTTTGTCCAGGACTGGAGTACACCTGATGAAGCTGTATTTCATCACTGTAGACAACGATTCAGCATTCCTATGAGTAATTTGGTGTGGAAAACGCTGATAGGTGTCCAAGATGGCTTCTGCATAGACAATCTGAAACCAGTGTCCCTTCATTAAGTGCATGATCTCCTCTGAGAGAACATCAAAATTCTCCGTATTCCCGATTCTTTCCAGTGTATGTTTGTTCAGTTTTTGGTACAACTTTCTATAATTACTTTTTTCTGGGTTTTTCCAGAGCCATTTTATGACGCTAGCAGTAATCTGATTTATCTGTTTCAGATTACACTGCGGAACAATAGCATCCAGCTTAGATATGATGTCTGCATCCACATTGTTCATGCTCAAGGAGAGGGTGTGGGTCATCAAAGCTATATATCCTGGGTTAGAAGATTTCTTTAGCTCGCTGTGAAAAGATATAAAAAAATATATTTTAGAGCTATAATTAATTTGAGGTAAGGTAACGCCAACCCTACATTCTTACACAGTCTGCCTATAGTCACGCCCTCCCCCTGCACTGTTTTTTTTTGATGACTGTTTACACATCTTAATTAAAGGGCACACGTGCCTAGACCAGTGGTTCTCAACCTGTGTAACCATGGGACCCCCATTTGTCCTTTGTTATTAAGTCGTGACCCTAGTCTGCAATGTCTGCACTGCAATGGAACACACGGCATTAGGGTACTGCGCGTTCTGGTGCGGGCGTACGAACTGTGGGTGGGAGGTGTGTTTGGGGTACCATTTAAATGAATGGCAAAGCAACACCTCCCACACCAGAATTCACAGTAGGTGTGATTGCTTGGTACAGTGCGTTAATCGCACAATACTATGCAATTAACCCACTGTACTAGTGTGAACGGGCCCTCAAAAACAATGACATACATATACAACCACAGACACAATCTCACACACTCACAGACATTCTCACTCACACATACACACTCCAAAAATGTTTTTATTTTTTTTACGGTCCACCCAGTCTCCCTACCTTATGAGAACTGGAAATGTTCATTTCATGTTCATGTTCTTCATAATATTAAGAAACTAACCTAAAATCATGATTTTGTATTGCTTTAGAAAAAATGTGATCGGTAATTGGTATCGGCGAGTACTTGAAAAAAGTATCGGTACTCGTACTCAAAAAAGTGGTATCGGAGCATCCCTAGTTTTAGTAATTTTTCTAAGTCTTCCCATGATGTTGGTTTGAATATGCTCTGTGCCCTAGCAGTATATGACTGCTTGCAGAAAGTTAAAACCGTGTTTGCTCGAGTGGATCTTCTAATTTCAGGTTGTTCAGCAGAATTTAACATGGAACTTGACTTATCCATTGTAAATTCACCTCTTGTTATGATTCCTGTGCGGCTTCACTTCACAACTGCCCGGGATCATTGTTTCTGGTGATGGGTTCTCATCAAAATAAATGCTGTGGTCATTTTGTCAGTCTTTGGGTGGAGGATTCTATATCCCTTACTTTGTTCCCTATAGCCCACCAGAATACCATCTATGGATGTGTTCTCCAATTTAGATCGATTCTCATTTAAAATATAGGCGTAAGCTTTACATCCAAACACTCTGATGTGCCCTATAGGCTAGGCTTCAATCCATGCCACATTTCAAATGGGTGCTTTCAATGGTTTTTGAAGGTAGTCTGTTTTGTAGCTATGCTACAATGATGACTGCTGCTCCCCAGTACTTCTTAGGTTATGTGTTTAGATGAAGCACTGAGATCTTGAGGAATGCAGAATTACGTTTTACTTGCTTAAGAGAACATTACGTCAGAATACAGCATACAGAGAGAACTTCCTGTTTATCATAGATAAGCATGCATATAGAAAACTAACATTGCACTACAGCCCCATCTACAGCTCAAAAGACATAACAGCAGAATGTCAGTAATATGCTGTTGTATTTCCAACAAGGTTAACCATAAGGTTTTAGTATTAGGCTGGTTGGCGATGAGCAGAATCCTGATGCAGATTGCAATATGCAGCTAGCCTTCTGTCTCTCAGGCAGCACAGCATGATGTAATCAAAAGCCAGTAGGCTGAAGGCCATAATGATGAGGGGGGGGGGGCAACATAATTTTTAAATACGGTAAGGAATCCCATTATATTTTTTGAATAACCTGCTGGATCCCTAATACCTTAGGCCTCATTCACACGGGCATTGAAGGAACACAAGTGCAGAAACACATGGTAGATGCATATGAGTGCGTATATACGAGCACCTGGCCCTTCACAGTACAAATAAGCGCAGCTGCGCGCAGCATTTTTTACACCTAGTGAATGAGCCCTAAAGCATGTAGCATTATACACTGAAAGTACAGTTACCCTTTAACTATTCTGCAGTGTCCATTATTACTAATGAAACATTAAATATGGTTGCTAGATTTACTTCACTTTGCACATCATCATTACTCTTTACACTGACACAATAAAAAGTATCACCAACATAAAAACAAAACAAATCAATGCTGTTTCATAGGATTACTCCATACTTACTATATTAATTGCTTTTGTACTTTGGCAAGCAATTCTGGGCATGGCAGATATACCAGTGCGTCTGCTATAATGCATAGAGATAGTGGCTTGTAGAGACGCACATTTTTCAGTATCATAGAACAAATCCTAAAAGGAACAAATTAGAAGAAAAACTCAAAACAGCTGCAATATGTTTAATATCCCCCAAAGCATTAAAGTAGTACTATAGGCAAATACCAGATATCAGTATGAGGCCAGAAATGTTAACTGTATCTCTGTGGACAGTATTTAAAGAAACACGAGGTAAAATGTCAAGCCAATCAGTGGACTAAAATGTTATCCAGAAAAACACACTATCACGCTTAACCACCTCGCTACTGGAGACTTTTCTTTTTTTTATTGGTATTGGTTCTCCCACACATGGTAAAATCTGAATATTTGGCTAGAAACTGATTCCCTCCCCCCAAGACATTATATATGTCCTGAAAGGAGAGGCCCCATAGAAATAAAAAAAGATGACATCTTTTTATGTTGCACGATATTAATTGGGGACCTAGAATTATTAATTTCACTCTGGCATGCATGGTGATACCTTATATGGGTATTGTGCAATTGCTGTTCACATAGACATGCAATTGCATTCGCATGTGTGCGCGCAGGGTGACAAGTGTGCTTTATATTTAAAATGTTATTTTTATTTAATGATATATTATTTGTAAAACTTTTTTTTATTGGATTAACTTTATTGCTATCACAAGGGGGGGTAACAACCGCCTTATGTGATAGCTTCAGGCAGGTGAGAGGTATGCTTCATGAAGAATGTCTCCCCCGCCCCCTGCTTTAGCCGATCAAGGCTGTATTGGATCCACCTGGCTCTGTGGTTGAGATTTGGACAGCTTTGAACCCAGAAGTGCTCAGAGCTGAGTGCTTCCGGGTTCCCACTATGCAGAATATGTCCTCCTCACTGTATTTATTATGGTCCCGGGCTCCCAGGATGAGCAGGAGAACCCAAAACACTATCACTCAATAGCCAGACACCTGCTATACAATATAGTAACAAACTCACGGCAGCTGCTGCAGTCTTGAACAACTTTAAGTCTGAACATACATGCTACATCCAAAATCCTAAAGTGTTTAAAGTGTATGCAAAGCCAACAATGTACTCCACTTTTTGCTACCCTTTTATCTGTTAAATATACCATTAAAATAATTTTTATATCTGTTTTATAAGTGGTATAAAAAAAAAACTGTTGATCTTGTCAGATATTTCCAGATGTCTGGTGTCCTATGCTCTTTGCCTGTGTTATCTCAAACAGCCTATTAAACCAACTTGTTCTCATATTGGGCTACACAGTGTTTAGCCTTTATGTTGTAGAGATCTATGAATGGGAGTGGATAAGTAGTTGAACAAGACAATGGGAGGTCTGACACCACTCAGTCCATAAAAAAAGCCACGTGTTGTCAGTCCACAACAGGACTTCAAGGCAGAGTGCATTTTTTGCAGATCAGCAGGTATTTCTCTATACTTGCAGGGTCTATAAAAGGGGTAAAACATGGGGAATGTGCATGTATTGCAGAGATGTACTACATATATTTTTATTTACATAGACTTCAAGGCAGAAAGACTACCGTATGTTCATTTGAGTCTTATGAAATTCAGTGCAGCCAGATTTAGGCTCTGAAGAGAATGTCCTATGCTGTGCAACCTCCCTGCTACCATCCAATATCTGTTGACAAGACTTCAAGGATATGTATACTCTGAGGGTGCTTGAAATGAGAACACTGGATAGATGAAACTGTCACAGGTCGGCTCTATAGACCGGGAAGTGAACGAACACATACTGTCTTTCCCTATAGTTCTCTTTTAACACACTGTAACATAACTTAATATATGTGCAAGCAGAATAGAGTCACAGATCAAAAAAAAAAAAGCTGAAATGCACAGCAGGCAGATTATTCAAGTAAAAGCTTCCCTTATACTCCCCCTGCACCGCCTGTTGGAAGCTAGAGTTCTTTAAGGAAGAACTACAGGAATGTAAAAAGTTAACCCTTGCAGTGGGACTACCCTGCATGACAAGGGTTAAGTGCCGCAATACAGAAGATAAACTCACCTGATCCTTGATCCTGCGGTGGTGACTGCTCATTTCACTCTCCCTCCGCTCTGGCTGTGCTATGTGCCATGGCATCCTCACACCTAATGCAGGGGAATGCACTGCATTAGACGTGATGATGTCACGGGTCCTTAGACCGCTGGAGCCTGGGGGAGAAGAGGCCATGTCAGATTGAGAATCACTTGAGTATATCTTCTGTATTCCAGCACCAAGACCGACACGAGCAGTTAATCCATTGAGTGCGGGGGTAGCCCCAGTGCAAGGGGCTAACTCCGTACATTCCTCGAGTTCCTCTTTAAGTGAATAAAAATAAACTACATCAGCATAACATAGCTAAAAAGCATACTTACTTATGAATCAGGACAGAATTTCTGCAATTAGCCACCGCCATGCTTTTCAGAATGTTCCCCAATTTTATGTAATGTATTTCATCTGCCAAAGCCAAAAGATTGTTTTCAAGTCTGATGGGAAAAAAAAGAAGAAAAGAAAAAGATTGCAATGTTATTTGCATCATTAAATATAGCTATTCAGGAATTACCGTGCAAAACAGATTTGCATATTTACCCTTTAAAACTGATCTGTCATCTACGGACAACAGTACATTACAGGAGGAGTGAACCCATGCTGGATGTCAATGGGGGGAAGTGGGTAATAGGACCACAGAGAGATGGAGGCAAATGGAGGGAGCGAGATTGCTAGGGAGGCATAGATGTTAGCTGATGGCGAGTTGGTGAGGGCAGGAATGGATGGTAGCAGAGGGAGGGCGAGGTGGTAAGGGAGGGATAGAGGTCAGCAGCAGAGGATAGGTGTGGCTGGCAGGCAGGCTGGGATGACCAGTAGGAATGGATTTTAGCTGAGGGGGGCACGGCTGCTTAGAAGGGATGGATGCTGGGGAGGGTTGGATGAGTGGGGTAAAGGGACGGGGAAAAGCTGGATGTCAGGGTGGTTGGTGGAGGTTGAGGAGGGATTAATGTCAGAGACATGTTCTGGAGATGTACAGTAGACATGTGTGATTCATTTCGTTCCGAATCCAAATTTGTCTGAATGTTCCGAAACTTGGACACATTCGAATTGCCGAATCCAAATGCATCCGAAATTTCGGTTTTAGTATTTCGGATCCCGTCCAAATGTCATTCAAAAACTAAACTGAATCGGACATGTGACTTTTCTGGCCAATCAGATGCGTTTTTCGGTTTAATGCATCCAAATGGGTCTGAACACGAATTTGCGTTACGGCAACATGGGAGCCATATACAGTATATACAATACTAAAGATGAAGCTCCTAGACCCGAATAGCATTCGGGATCCGAATTTCCGAATGCAAATCGGAAAATCGGATCCCGATTGCCATTTGGGTCTGGGAGCCTCAGCTTTAGTAATATATGTATATGGTTTCCCAGACCTGAATGGCAATTCGGAAATTCGGATCCCGAATGCCATTCAGGTCTAGGAGATTCAGCTGTACTATTAAAATCTGTATATGGTTTTCTGTTTTTTTGCAACGAATATTCGTAAATTCGGATTTTGTCCGAATCCAAAACCCGCACCAAATTGAATTTCAGATCTGAATCCCGAATTAATTCAATATCTGAACCAAACCAAATTTTTCCACAGCTTACATGTCTAATGTACAGTGAGCAGTATGGTATAAGATGCTCTGTATGTGGTGGTGGGGGGAGACTATAGTACAGAAAGTGAGTTGTCACCCTAGGACAGGAAATAGTGAGAATAGGAAACTAAATGCAGGCAACACAAGACTTGTAAGCTGCAATTTATGAAAGTCTTGTTCATGAGTTTAGATGCACTCTAATACCATACTGTTCTGTGCATAGTTCTGAGTATGCCATGCCAGTAACAGGAGCAGGAGGATGAGGATGCTAAAACATCCTCACTACAAAATGTAGTCAGTTGCAGTGGCACAGAAAAAAAATCTTCATGAATTAGTGCAATATTAAAATTCAAAGGGCTTTTTAATCAGTTTTATTTTGCCTTAAAACACACACCTGTCTCTCATGTCTTGTGAAACCATGGGAAGCAGCATGTGAAATATTGTGGTGAAATCTCTGGTATTGTTACACGACTCCAACAACTCAATCAATCTCGACTTTACCATTACATGAACTTCAGGGTACTCCAAGGTATGAGACAGGTGCCGTTCAAACATCAACAATATGTTCAAATCCATTTCTTTTATTCTCTGTATGGAACGCTGGGTCCATTTTTCCAACTGTGAATGTTTACTAGAACCCGTGTTAAATAAAAACTGCAAAATCCTTCGCATGCTATGTATATCAAGTGAACCTTCAACTTCTAAAAAAGATTCTGCCTTTGTGAGCAGTCGGTGCTGTAGGCTTTGTGAACAGACAGATTGTAAGTTGACCATCAGAATGGAGAGGGCTCTGAAAAAGAGGGGAGAGTTTACATGCTGAATGTCAGGCAAAACCGATGTCACCTACATGCTTGTGCTCTGTGGGAGTAGATATCATAGCTATACTGTTCTATAAATGCTTTGTAGTGCTTAAAGTACCCCTTGCAGTGTAGAGGTGTGCTCGTTTTGGTCTAGGGGCAGAAATAAAAAATAAAAAAGTTAGAAATGGTGAGAAGTGAAGCCAAACCAAAAGCTTATAATATTTCCAGCCCAAAAAGTTAATATCTCCTATATGACGACCCAAAAGACCACAGCTGGGAATTGTTTTAGAAAAATTGTCATTGCCCCCGAAATGCACTGGCTGTTTTTCCTTTGTGATTCTTTGGACCTTTACACCCATTTGGTCTGGTGCCCCTATATGTCTGTCACCACTATATGTCTACTAGGGATGCACCGACATTTCGGCCGCCGAAACATATCGTCCGAAAATGGCACTTATGGCAAAATCCCGAAAGTGCCACTTTTTGGCAGAAATAGTAGTGCATCTGTGATTTCTCTCCTCCCCACTGGGCACTGCTCTGTGTCCCAGCAGGGAGGAGAGAAACTGTCACAGAAGGCCGAGCAGTGCGGGAGGAGGAGAGCGCTGTGGCCGGCCGGCGTATCTCCTCCCCGCACCGCTCATCCTCCTGTGACAGATCGGGAGAGCGGCGGTGTGGGGACAGTGATAGCTGTCACAGGAGGCTAGCTGGCGGTGCGGGGGAGGAGTCTGTCAGATCGAGTTTTCCTCCCTGCACAGCTCGCTCAGCCTCCTGTGGCAGCCAATCCAGGATGGAGAGAGAGTACAAACACTCAGCAATCAGTGATCGATGAGTGTTTGTAAATAATTGAGGACATAGTATGTTTACTATGTCCTCAATTATGAATGAATGGGAAGTGATCTACATCACTTCCTGTTCATTCATGATTGTGGTTATAGTTACCACACTATGTCAACAAGTTATGAATGAGCAGGAACACTCAGTATAGTGGCTGGCTGTCCCCATCCCTGTACAGTGGTTGTCCCCATCTGAGTGCCCCCTTACACTGGTTGTCCCCATCAGAGTGCCCCTTTACACTGGCTGTCCCCATCAGAGTGCCCCTTTACACTGGCTGTCCCCATCAGAGTGCCCCCTTACTGTCCTCACATGTTCCTTTGGGGTACCTTAGCTGGGAGATGCAGTCAGCAGACACAGCCAGGAAGCAGATCCAAGGGGTGGAGATGGGAGGAGCTAGGGGCAGGGCTAGGATGAGCTGGGAAGCAGGGGGTGGAGAGAGCTATGGGTGGCTGAAAAGGACGGAAGATACTGTTTTGTCCTGTACAGTGTTAAGCGGGACACTGGCTGTCATTTGTGGCCGCATACCCTTGCTATAGATGTTTAAGTCCGTTTGCTGTGTTGCACAGTAAGTCAAGCATGTTAGTAATGGGTTAAAATTAACATATTTGAGTAGTAGGCACTACCTTAGATCTTGCATATTATCCAGATTCCTGTCCACAATGCTGGCTATTTGTCCATAAAGTGGGCCAGCATGCAAACCTTGTCTTGCCAAAGAAGCAGTAAACTTTGTCAGTAACGAAAGTTCAAGTCTGTAACAAAAAGGAGCAAAGCCAATGATACACTAAAATACATAGCAACCTAGAAGTAGAATGTTAATTAGCTTCATTAAAAAAAGTTTCCCATAACAAATGTACTCCAAACCTAATACATAGGGGGGATTTATCAAAACTGGAGCAGACAGAATCTGGAGCAGTTGCCCATGGCAACCACTCAGCTTCTCTCTTTAGTCTGTTCAGTTAAGATTTGAAAATGAAACAGAGAAACTGATTGGTTGTCATGCACAGCTGCTCCAGATTTTGTCTGCTTCAGTTTTGATAAATTCCCCTCATAGTGCTTTAAAGCATGCACAGATGTTCATATATTACTGCCTAAGAAGAACTTACATTCTAACTCCTTCAACTAAATAAAAAGACATACTTGCATGCGATTAGGTTAGGGTAGGAAACTGGAGTGCCAGATAGAAAAATCTCAAAAAACAAAGATCATATACCAACCCAATCATCACTAAACAGCAATGTTGTGCAGAAATTAAGTTATCAGCTCTGTCAGCACATGTGTATGTACAAGAGCCTGATTGGCCTAGCACTGCCCCTCTCTCCCTCAGTTTGAATGCTGTTATGCAAAAGAAGGCAGGAGGTTGATATCAAGACAAATACATAAAACAGTCTTTTACTAAAAATACATTAGGGGTTTAAATACGTCTTCACACAACTTTTGTGCAGAATTCACACGACTTTCCAACTGAATGATTTTGGTTAAACATTTTTTTAGATAAACCCTTTAAAAGAAGGAGAACTATGAGGTGAGTGCTTTTCAATCACCTCATAGTTCTAGCCGACCTGTGACAATGAGACGGTCACCGGTCGGCTTAGTAGATGACCCGTTACCCTGAGAACAATGGGGAAAAGCCTTAACCCCATAGTTCTCCTTTAATTATGTTTAAGGAAACAATGGGTATTTTTTAATAAATTAATTTACCTAAGATTTACATTTTTTTAAATAGGATTCATTTGGAAAACGGTGTCAATTCTGGGTGAAGGTTGCATGAATCTTGTGTAAAAAAATATATATTTTAATTAGACCCCTTAAAGTGTATAGTCAAAATGTGTTTTTAACTTTTGTATAGTGTCTGGAAGGGTTAAACCTAGGGATACACCGATATCGGTTTTACGGTATCGAGTACCGATATTTTTTTTTCCGGTACTCGCCTATACCGAAAACTGATACTGTAAGTCCCATTAAGGAAGCCAAACAGCGTGTAAAGACTCGCCACCCGGCTTCCAGATTAGCAGGGAAGCCTTCTCCATGCTCCCAGATGAGGAATAATGGAGCCGGTTTTCTGGCCAATCAGGTAGCCTGGTGGGGGGGGGGGGGGAGTTTGGTAATGACTTGCCGCCTGGCTTCCTGATTGGCCAGCTTCTCTACCAATCAGGAGGCTAGGCGGCAAGTCATTACATGCTGCCCGGCTATATCACCAAGTGCCGAGGGAGCATGGAGCTGGCTTTCTGGCCAATCAGGAAGCTGGGCAGCGTGTAATGAGTCACTGCCCGGCTTCTGAAAGTTCACTAATTAGATCACTTGTATGAAAGGATCGGCGGCTATTGTGTCCGGTCACCGCCGCCGTGACCAAGGCAGCACACGAGCTGACACTAGTGCCCGAAGAGCAGGCGAAGAACGGACGTTCTTCGTCTGCTCTGTGTAATCACCGAGACCGTGGCGCTGTGATCACAGCCGCCACCTGTCTCAGCCGTCAGGAACTGCACAGAACATCAGTTCTGTGTTGGAGGGCAGGTTCCATAGAGAGAACCTGTCACCTCCAAATTATCACATAGGAGTTTTTAAAGTATCTTATTTGTGTATCACTCGGCTGTAGATCCTCAAATCATCTCTGAATTGGTGCTGATACTGTCCTTCCTTCTGGAGAGTGGCTACTTTGTTCCCCATGGTTCCTGTGTGTTGTAAAGTAGACACCGCTCCAAGCTCACACCCATGAGGAATTACAATCTCAATACAAATTAGGAAACTAAACTTGAGATTATAGTCCATCACAGGAGTGAGTTTGGAGTGGTGACTACTTTACACAAGGGAACACACAGGGACCATGGGGAACAAAAGTAGCCCCCCTCCAGAAGGAAGAACAGTGTCAGCACCAATTCAGAGATGATTTGAGGTTCTACAGCGAGTGATACACAAATAACATAAATTTTTGTTAATAGTTATAGTGACATTAAAAGCAGAATAATATTGCTACTCTAAGGACTTACCTTACGTGATGCCTCTTGATCCGAACAGCTTCTTCCTTCCACTCATTTTCCGCTGTCGCTCCAGTGCTGGTGCCAGTCTCTGATCCAACGCAGACTCCTCTGTCCCACGGAGTCTGTCCGGCATGCAGACTGCCGGCTGCCCAGCTGCGTCCATTCAATGTCAGTGTTGCTCTCCTCCTCTCCCCTCCAGTGATCTGGATGCCCACACTTCCTCCTTCACAGCGTTCGGGAGCCGGGACTTCTGCAGCCGGGAGAAAGCGGTGCTGACACAGGTAAGTTAGTTGGTATTTGCCAACTTTTTCATTTTTTTTAAATGTTGGGGTAAAAATATACTGCTTACTAGCAGTAGATAAATGCCAAAAATTAGACTTTAATACTACTTTAAAAAGGTACTTGAATGCATTTTTAAGTTTTAACTCCTGAGTTTAGAGTCACTTTCAATATTTCTATGTGTTTTGTATGATGCACATACTTTTCTAGTCTTTTCCATCCTTCCACAACCAGTTGCTGCATCAGAGAGTTATGGGCCTCCACTCCAAGCCTTTAAAGAAGAAAAAAGAAAAATATATATACACAGTATATATATATATATAAAACTATATATATATTATACACACGCAAACAAAAGAATCAAATATCTCTTTGCTTTACCTTATCACAGCATACAAAGTGTTCACCAAGGCATGGTCATCTAAACAGCTGACTTTATTTTCTGCTAAGATGTGAAGAGCAACGAATTCTGGGTGATTCCTGACTTCATCGAGGCTTAGGCACACATTTGTATTTTCTTTCTGAATTTCCCAGAGCATGTTGAGTGCGCAGCTGACATGGTTGGCAGTGAGTACGGATCTATTGAGCCCAACAAGCTGGAATAGTTGATATTCATTCCTGCAATCCTTCAGCTTCTCCAGCAGTGGGTCTGAATTTCTAGTACAGGTTTTAATCCAGCGCAGCGAAATTCCTAATACCCTCCTGCAGCGGAACATGTCTAGGCTCCGGAAAGGCCGTCTCACAAGATCCAGCAGGACAGAGGATTCATTTTGCTGTAACACAATCTTTCACATTTAGCCTTTCATTTTATGGACATTTTTAGGTCCGAAGGTTTAGAACGTTCCAAACGTATTTACCTGAAAAGAGAAGGAGACTAAATAGTTCAACGGGCTCTATGATATTATGACAAAACAGAGTTTGAATCAACAACATAACCAAAAAAATCTGCAGCTCAATGCAGTACATGGTTGGAATACATACGTGTTAAAGGAGAACTATGAGGCGAGTGAAAATCACTCAATCTCATAGTTCTAGCCGACCTGTGACAATGAAACTGTCACAGGTTGGCTCAATAAATCGGGAAGTGAACGAACATATACCGGCGCTCGCTCACTTCTCGATCTATCCCTGCAGAGAGCCGTGACTGTCACTCATGGCTCCCTGCAGGGATTCCCCCCCTCCCCTGTCCGATCCTTCAGTGCTCACTGGCGGAACAGACGGGGGAGGGTGTGAGTACAGCTGGCTCTGCCTCTAGATAGGCAGAGCCAGCTGTCAATCAAGCAGCTGGGTGGATCTCGACAGTAATGGCTGCGACGTCTCAGTATATCGCGAGCTGTAGCTCGCGGTATACTGAGCTTAGGGTGACAGGAGGACACTAGTTTGTGTTCTCCCGTTACCCTTAGGAGAACTATGGGGAAAAGCCCTGACCCCATAGTTCTCCTTTAAAGACAAAACGTTTTATCTCATTTTGGATAGAAGGAGCAAAGCATGGAGCCCCTGTCAGGCTTTTATTGCCATATGTATACCTGTTTGAAAGATGACTCCTTCCTGCAATGTCCATTGAGAGGTGTGAAGGTGGAGGTAACATAGGAAGTTGAAATTCTTAAAATAAAATTCCACCTTTTGAAAAAAAAAACATAAATGCTCACTTCTTTAGAAAAGAAAAAAGAATTTGCATTTTTTTTTTTTTGCATAGTAGACAGTAAAGCATTGCAACCATGATCAGTGGATGGCGGGTGCATGCTCTGGCTCCTGCAGACACTTCCGCCTTTCCATGTCCGTACCGAGGTACGGACATTCAGTAGCATGGGAGGAAGTGTCAATGGACTACAAGTGTGGTGACGTGACCACGTTTGTATTTAGTTGAAAACGACATGTCCCTCTGCCATGGTGGCATTACTCCATTCACGGATCTTGTTAAAGGATATGTAAATGGATAATGCGGTTGTCAGGGTGAAGCCACACACAGCCGCTCCAAATTCTGCAGAACCTTGTGATTCAGGTAAGTGAGAGGGCAGCAATCTGACCATTTTCATGGTATACCCTAAATATGGGTGTAACATGAAACATGGTCAGAAAAGTAAACTTACTTAAAGAGGAACTTCACTCCAAGGGTTCTTTGGCCAGGGCATTCAGAACGAGTGTAATTGCCCAGGGAGCCGAGGGTCTTAATGATCCTAGCCGTACAGATCTTTTGGGCTAAAATGAAATACCTAACCAGGGGTCTTCTGCTAGACAAACCTCTAGGAATACAGATAAGGCCGCAACCTGGGCAAGGGGAAGGTAGAGCTGTCCAGTCAGCAGGAAGGGGATGGTAGAGCTGTCCAGTCAGCAGGGAGGGGAAGGGGATGGTAGAGCTGTCCAGTCAGCAGGGAGGGGAAGGGCAAGGTAGAGTTGTCCAGTCCGCAGGGAGGGGAAGGGCAAGGTAGAGCTGTCCAGTCAGCAGGGAGGGGAAGGGCAAGATAGAACTGTCCAGTCAGCAGGGAGGGGAAGGGCAAGGTAGAGCTGTCCAGTCAGCAGAGAGGGGGAAGGGCAAGGTAGAGCTGTCCAGTCAGCAGGGAGGGGAAGGGCAGGGTAGAGCTGCCAGTAATGTGTGCAGTAAGTTACCAAATGTAACCCCGCCAAAAGTTTGTGGCAAGTTATCCTTGCTATCTGGATAGAGCTCTCTAGTAAACAGGGAGGGGGAGCTCTCCAGTAAAAAAAAGGAGGGGGAGCTCTCCAGTAAACAGGGAGGGGGAGCTCTCTAGTAAACTGGGAGGGGGAGCTCTCCAGTAAACTGGGAGGGGGAGCTCTCCAGTAAACTGGGAGGGGGAGCTCTCCAGTAAACTGGGAGGGGGAGCTCTCCAGTAAACAGGGAGGGGGAGCTCTCCAGTAAACAGGGAAGGCAAGGGGAAGATGCAGCTCTCCAATCAAGGGGAGGGTTCAGGTTCACACTGCTGTAGAGAGCCTGCTGCTCTGATACAGAAAGCAGTGGTGTTTATCTGCAGCCCATTGGTGGGATACAAAGTGTTTCGCTAGCACTGGAGCTGCTTTACAATGAAAACAGCAATAAGATTTGCATGACCAGGCATCAATTTGTACCATACATAACCCAAAATGATTATGATAATCTGAAAAATCACTTAAAATAAATTCATATAATATGCCTTGGAGATCACCAAATGAAATGTGTAATCATGAGAAAAAACATACACGATCTCTCATCATCCTCAATATTCTGTAATGTTTACAAAGGATAAGTAACCTTTCCGGTGATTTGATTGTGGCACGGAAGACAACACCTCTGACAGCAGCTCAGAAGCATGCAGCAGCTTTTCTGACATTCACTTCCTGCTGCATGCCTGACTTAACCTTGATGAAAGTTCTGCAGCAACTTCACATTCAGCATATTTCTGCACACAGATCCTTTTTCCAAACATATACAAAGCAGAGTAAAAGGATAATGAATATCCAGACTACCTTATAGCAGATCACAGCAGACTCCTCTATGTTTCAACTGTACACTTTGCTGCATTCAAAACATTACAGCTAAGGCGGGTTTCCTCCTGATCAAAACCTCACTCAACTTGAACCAAGCCTCACTCTGAGATCTCCTGCTGGTCTCCTCTACAACCAAACCTCACTGAGAAAGCTTGCTCTTCTACAACCAAACCTCACTCTGAGAAAGCTTGCTCTTCTACGACCAAACCTCACTCTGAGAAAGCTTGCTCTTCTACGGCCAAACCTCACTCTGAGAAAGCTTGCTCTTCTACGACCAAGCCTCACTCTGAGAAAGCTTGCTCTTCTACGGCCAAGCCTCACTCTGAGAACTCTTGCTCTTCTATGACCAAGCCTCACTCTGAGAACTCTTGCTAGTCTCGGTTACAACTAAACTTCACTCTGAGAACTCTTGCTTGTCTCCTCTACAACCAAACTTCACTCTGCGAACTCTTGCTACTCTCTTCTACAACCAAGCCTCACTCTGAGATCTCCTGCTAGTCTCCTCTACAACCAAACCTCACTCTGAGAAAACTTGCTCTTCTACAACCAAACCTCACTCTGAGAAAGCTTGCTCTTATACGACCAAGCCTCACTCTGAGAACTCTTGCTAGTCTCGGCTACAACTAAACTTCACTCTGAGAACTCTTGCTTGTCTCCTCTACAACCAAACTTCACTCTGCGAACTCTTGCTACTCTCTTCTACAACCAAGCCTCACTCTGGGATCTGCTGGTCTCTACAACTATAGCTTACTCTGAGATCTCTTGTAGTGATGGTCCAAACACCCTCCTGTCCAGTTCTAATTCAAACTTTAGAACATGGAAAATGTTCAAACTCAATGAAAGTCTATGCGGCTAGAACTTTTAAAATCAATTGACCCCATTTTGAAGCCTCATATGCAATTTATTGTCCATAAAAAGGGTATGGGGATCCGGGTACTGATCTGGGGGACATGAATCATTGGGAAAAAAAAAACGTTTTTAAGGGAGCAGTGATTTTAACATTGCTTAAAGTGACATTAAAGGCAAAAACTTTTTTCTCTCCCCCCAATGTTAAATGATGTCTCCGTATCCGATCTTCTTTCCTGTCGTTTTCAGCCTTCTCTCCACCGCTGCGGCGGGTCTTTGATCCAGCGCTGACTCCTCTGTCCTTGCTAGCACTTCCTGTCCCACAGTGTCTGCATGCGGGTGCACGCGTCCATAGACGTACCTTGTGTCTCCCTTCGTCTCCCGGCCGAAAATCCGAACTGCGCATGCGCTCGCCCCAAGATGCTTTGCGGCTGCCTGATCATTTTCAGATTTTCGGACGGGAGCGCGTGGCGAAGACACAGGTAAGTTTAAACCGCTTTTAAAGTGGTTTGGTTTTGGGGTTTTTTTGTAACATTTTGCATATATCTACTGCTTGCTAGCAGACCTTTAGGTCTGGTAGGAAAGTTAGGGGGGACCCCATTTTAAAGAAAAAGGTGTGGGGTTCCCCAAACAAATCATTTCAGACCCTTAACGTCTGGTAGGAATTTTAAGGAGGAACTTAAAAGAATGTGGGGTTCCCCCTAAAATTCCATACCCTGATCCGGGCACAGGCCTGGCAGGGCAGAAGAGGGGGGGAGACGAGAGAGCGCCCACCCCCCCCCCCCCCCATTCCAGGCCACATGCCCTCGGCATTTGGAGGGTGCTTTTCGTTTAAATAAAACTATGCCCAGCGTCCCGTCCGACGGAGCTAGCGGTGACAGGTAGCTCCACCCAACTGTTCACAGTTGTACACCCTCTGACAAGTGAGCCGAACACACGAACTGCCAATGTTCGAGCCGAACCTTTGCTGGACTCAAACATCGAGTCCATCCCTAATCTCTTGCTAGTCTCCTCTACAACCAAACTTCACGATATAATCTCTTACTAGACACCTCCACAACCAAGCTTCACTCTGATGTATCCTAGTATTATGGAGGAAAAAGCTGTCTGCTTCAAGTCTGAAGCTGACAGCTTTTTCTCCATTCAGAGCGGCTTGTTACAGGTTACAGAGCAGGGAAAGCCTCCCCGCTGGACGCCTGTTAATTACAGGCGGCGCTGCATCCGGCTTTTGACAGCTAGTTAGGTTCTACAGCAGCGGCTTCCCCACTGCTTGTGTAACCTAACTAGTTAGCAAGAGCTGTCACACCCTTTACTCTGTGTTAGAGGCGTGAGCTCTGTGGATGATTTGGACCAATGGCAAAGCGCCATTGGTCCAAGCTGTCCAATTGAAAAAAACACTGAGGACATCGATCTCGATGCCTCACCAGTGACGAGCAAGTAAGGGACAGGGAGGCTCCTCCCTGTCTGCTCCCTTTCTCCTCCCTCTCTCCTCCAGACACAGCTTGGTTACCGCGTT